TTCAGGACCTGTGGTGAGAATAATAATATTCTTGAGTGAATCTGGAATATTGCAACTTCCTGGGCGGAAGTTATGGGGAAATGTTTGCAGGAGATAGGGAAAGCATTGCTGAGTTATGTGAAATGGCTTCAGACATTTGATCAGGATAATACAGCGAAAGAGATCAGTGGTCCATCTGGCAAGAACTTGATGCTTCCTTCGTAGCACAGCCCATAGATCACGGGGCAGGGGATTGATGGATCACGTCTTACTTGATTTTGAAGAGGGGAGGGAGGGAATTCTGAAGAGGAAAGAGAACGTCTGTGAAACTTTCTACACCGAAAAGATTAGCCGGAATTCTTTCTATAATAAATCAAGGGCTTTAGTTGCTTAAAAAGAGCCCCAGTACACCTAGTTTTTGATAAAGGACTAAAACACTTTAAGTGGGGGAGGAGATAATCTTTTAAAAGAAATGATGCTGGAAAAATCGGGTTTCTCCCAGCTAAAGAATGAAGCAGGACCCATACCTCACACTAAGTACAAAAGCAAATGCAAGATGGATTAAAGACCCACTATAAATCCTAGAACCATAACATTATCAATGAAAAAATTACGGCTAAACGTAAGAACCCTAATACAAGGCATAAATGCACTACTACACATGATGAGAAGTATCCACCACCCGGAAGACAAAGTAGAGGGCTGGGCCTTCCAAAAAAAATATGTGCATCAAAAGATTTCATCCAAAGTAAAAAAAACCCATAAACCTCACACATTGGAGGAAAAATGGCAATGATATATCAGAGAAAGGGCTAACCTCAAACATTTATGGAAAAATAAAACATCTTAATAAGAGAAACATAAAAAACCCAATCAAAATGGGCATAAGACATGAATAGACAAGTTATTAAAAGTGACACTCAGGCAGCCAATAATCATATGAAGAAATGTTCTTGTTCATTAGAAACAAAAGAAATACAACTTAAAACAGCAAGGAGATACCACGTCACATCTACACTTTTAACAACATGTAAAAAAACAGAAAGTAAATGCTGGAGAGGATTTAGCGAGATAGGAATGCGTATGTGTGGCTGGTGGGATTGTAGACTTGTGCAAGCATTATGAAAACAGTATGGTGCGTTCATAAACCAGTGCAAATACAAATACCTTATGATCCTGCCGTCCCTCTGCTTGGTGTACACCCTAAAGAAATAAAGAACAAAACATGAACAAATTCAGACACACCTTTTTTTTAAGTTATGGTATTCAATAAGTTCT